CGTATTGAGGATGCGGGCCGTGTGGCCGGTGATGTTGGTGAAGGGCTTGGGCGGGCGGCGCGACTTGCCCTTCTCCCCCTGGGGCACCCACGCTGGGTCGCACTCCCACATCTTGACCGTGCGATCGAACGAGGCCGACACGATCTTGCTATCGTCCGGCGAGAACGAGCAATCGAACACCGTACCCCTATTCATCGCGCGTCGTGTCGTGTCGTGTGCGGTGTAAGCTTGTGAAAGAACAACACCAACATGAAGGGATGAACTGGCGGCGGGAGCGTACGTGTGACCGATGAGGATGGCGAGCTGGTGGAAGGAGCCGGTGGCGGCCCACACGATGATCATGTTGTCGTGCGACGACGACACCACGCGCTTGCCGTCGTGCGAGAAGCTGACGGCCGCCACGCCGTCCTTGTGGCCGGTCAGCGTCCCCTTGAGCGAACCGTCGGCCGACCTAGCCCATGCGAAATCAAACCCCCAATCAGTATTCATGTCATGCGTGTGCGGTGGTGTGTGCGTGTGCCATGTGTTCGTTTTACCATAATCGGACGCTCCTATCGTCGCTGCCAGACACGACACTGCTGCCGTCCGGCGAGAACGCAACCCGGTTGACGGCATTGGTGTGACCCGAGAATGTGCACGCCTCGTCCCAGGTGCCCCAGTTCCACTTCTTGATGGTCTTGTCGGTCGAGGCCGAAAGAATCGACTTTCCATCGGGCGAGCAGGCCACGCTGTTCACTCCCTGGTGGCGTTGCACTCAGGTGAGTCTCGTTTGGTGTGTGCGTGTGCGCGTGCGCGTGCGTGTGCGTGTGTTGGCGCAGTGACATACTCCGGAATGTGCCTTGATGGCAGTAATCTCGGTGTAGGTGTCGGCGGAGAAGACACGCACGGTCTTGTCGAGCGAGCACGACACAATGTGTCGGCCGTCGTGCGTGAAGCGCACCTGGGTCACGACTCCCTTGTGACCGGTGATCGTGGCCAGCTCGACGCCGGTCTCGGCGTTCCACACCTTGATCTGCTTGTTCCACGACGACGACGCTATCTTACGCC